CACGGGGCTCTGAGTTTGATTCCCGGTACCAAAAAAAATTTTTTTAAAAACTAATTGCCCAGGCCAAACCAACATCTCTGCTGACGCAGTCGCAGCCACTGGTTGTGACCACACGTCGCAGGGCTGCCGTTTTCCAGATAAGGGCACAGGTCTCGGCTTCCTCTTAGCCTGAGGTTCAGGGACTGAAATGGCCCCCTCTGGTTTAGAGAAAATCGGTAACAGGTGACTGTGGTTGGGGACCCAGCTGGAAAGGAAGTGACCGAGGGCTCTACATTCAGGTTTGAATCCCACCTGGCATGGAGGGCCTGACTGAGCAGGAGGAGGCTGTCTGAGAAAGAGGAGCGCACCGCTGTGCCTCTAATTCCGCGGTTCGCGCCTGTCGCCCCAGCACTCCAGAGGCTGAGGCGGGAGGATTGCTGTGAGTTTGAGGCCAGCCTGGGCAACATAGCTGGACCCTGTCTCAAAACAAGCCAAAAAAGGAAGAGGACTGGATGCAGAGGGCGGAGGGGATGAGCTGCGCCAGCCGCTCTGCGGGTAGCACCTCATTTTAGAGCAAGCTTGTGTGTATTTAGTCTGAGGCCGAACTTTATTTTTTAACACATCTGTGGCTGTTAATGACACTTGTTTGTTTCTTGGTTTTATTTATTTATTTGTTGGACCAAATCACCCACAATTCCTCAGTTGTCGCGTGTAATCGGATTTGGTTTTTAACATGCTTTTAAAGTAGGGAAATAAATAGAACTGAGGCTTGTAAAAGGGGCTCGTTACGGAATGGGCCTCGGCCCCATAACTTTAAAGTAATAGCCCCATTAGGGAGGAGGCGATGAGTTTTTAACTGTCCCTGCACATTTACGCCCCTTGGCCGAGGGGCTCTGCCAGCAGCCTAGGCAGCTCAGTAAAAGCTTTTCCGGCAGCCATTTAACCTCCACTTATGAAGAAATAAAGCAAAATTGATGCTGATTTGGGCCTGCTTGGGGGGATACTTCTGTTCCGTAAAAGCCCCTGTGCCTGCAATTTGCCGAGCTGCCCTGTCACATCCGGCAGGGCCGCTGTTGATAAAGATAAAGCTTTATGGCCACAATATTTGCTGCTAACAGCAACCTAATGCAGCATTTTCATTTCTGTGCAATTAATGTTAATGTCTGCTACGAAAATTGTCATTAAATACCATTTTAAAATCCATTCAATTTGCATATGCAAAGCCCATTTACCATCGCAGAAGATGTAGCCGGCACTTCATCACGTCCTGGCCCCGGAATTGTGGCCACTCGGTTTTACGGCAGCTGAAGGTTTTGTATGGAAAGCTGGATAATGAATGTCCTCACTCGGCCCCACTGCCGCAGCCCCAGGACCCGAACAGTGGGTGCCTGCACCATGTGCCCCGCCCCTGTGAAGAGGCAGGGTGCACAGGAAAGAAGGGCCCGGGGACCCCCGCATCTGGACCCGGCCCAGTTACAGCCTGCTAGCGACCCCGGGAGAACGCTGGCTCCCGTTCTAAGCCTTCAGCAGCGGGCGCTAAGGCCCGGTGTGCGCTGACATCTGAACTTGGAACTAAGCACACCAGGTGAAGAGTCCAACCCAAGCCCTGCCGTGAAGAAGGTCGATGAGCTTCTGCCTCTGTCGGATATGCGTCCTACCCACCTCCTGCACAGGTCTGAATGACAATGAGAGAAAGCTGGCCTAAGAGTTAAAGCCAAGATGGCCCAACAGGACATTCTCTGAGGGTCACGGAGTGCCAGCGCACTAGTGTGACACCCTGTTCACACAGGGGAAACAGGAGCCCTGGGGAAAGGCACCCAGAGACGGGGGGACAAAGGCGGAATCGGGAGCTCAGCCTGACTGTGGGCCCAGGGTGCCTCCCAACACCACGCGTCTCTGCGACCCTGTGTCACCAGCGTGACCGATCACGTGACTGGCAGCAGAAGGTGGGCTCCACGGGCACTGCCCCCGGCGTCCTACAAGAACGAGGCGTGCAGGGATGACGGGCGGGACCAGACCGGACCACAGTGACCAGGGACGCTCCCGGGAGGGCTGGCTCGGGGCCGTTTCAAAGGCAGGAGAAGACAGTGTGCAGACGCTTGGGGACTGCAGCCCGGAAGTGCCTGTCCGGTGAGTCTTCATGCAGGTGGCCACGGGGGTGGGGAAACTACCAAGGAGAGGACGCCAGAGCGATCTCCGGAGAATGGAGGGTCTCCGGAGAATGGATGGTGACCAAAACGTGTGCAGAAGCGTGGTGGTGTGCGCTGGGGAAAGAGCTTGCGGGGCCCTCAGAATCACATCCGGGATCCCTGCGGGAATCCAACCAGCCCACTTCTTCGGGTCCCAAGAGCAGGGACAAGAACAAGTATTTGCATCCCCTGTGCATGGCAGAGCTCACAACCAAAAGTAGAAACAACCCGGATGTCCACTCATGGACGGCAGGTCGAGGAAAACCGGTCCAGACACACAACAAGATACTCCTCCGCCTTAAAAAGAAATGCGGTGCCGGTCAGGCTACAACCGGGCGCATCGGGATGACGTTATGGTAAATGAAATAAGCCAGGTACCAATGAGCAGACACTGTGGACGCCGCTCACAGGAGGTCCCTGGGCGAGTCAAAGTCAGACGCAGGGAGCAGGACGGACGGTGGTCACCGAGCCCTGCAGCTGGTGCTTCATGGGGGCAGAGTTTCAGGCTGGCAAGATGAGAAAGCTGTGGAGCCTGGCTGCGCTGATGGCGCACGATAGGAACGCACTTACTCCACTGAACTGTCCGCGTACAAACTGCTGGGACGACTGGCCTTGTGTCACACGTATTTTATCACAATGAAAACAGGAAAACGTAAAACAAAAAACAAGGAGGGAACCATTAAAAAAAGCAAAGGAAAGTGACATAGCGAAAGGGAGTCAGGCTCGGCCGGATGCAAGAGCGGAAGACAGGCTGGGGATTTGATGGCTTGAAGGACACAGCAGGTGCGGCCCCCAAGTGGACAGGGACAGCTGGACAGGGACAGGGCAGCGGGAAGCTGAGGACAGTCGCGGCTGTCTGGAAGCAGCCGCTCTGTTTACTTATTCGGAGGGGCGCACACATCTCAGCGAGTCTGCAATAATAAGTTTGCGCCCTGGTGTGGAGACGCCCAAGATTTCTCCCACGGCTCTGGCCTGCTCCGTTCCAGGGCTCCTCCCTGCGTGTTAGAAGCTTGGTCCCCACATCTTTTCCACCATCCGCCCATGTGGATTGTGGGAAGATTTCGTCCTGCCGCCCGGGAGTGTCACGTGATCAGGCGTAGCCAATCAGGGCATCAGAGTCCCAACTCCCCACTCCCCCCTCCGTCCCGTCAGACCCCAGCAAAGAGTTCAGAGGCAGACACAGGACCCCGACCTGGCCAGCCATGGCGCCTGGCTCAGGGACAAGCACATGACCTGCGGGACCAAAATATGTTGATCTTAAGGCTGTTGTGCTTTCTAAATCATTCCTGCTGGGTTTACTAAGAGAATAGGATTGAACAAACCAAGTGCTGGTGACATCACCGGAATGCCTAGGTCCTCCTCTGCCTGAAGCTCCACCCTGGGCTTTTTGATCACGCAAGCCAAGGCAGTTTGGATTTTGATTCTATGCAACCACATTCTATTGTAATAAAATGGCTGTGTGCTAGGATCCATCATGGGTCAATTGCTAGCGGCAAGGGAATTGGATGCCCTGATTGGTCAGGCCTGATCACATGACCCTCCCTAGGTCGTCAAGGGTGAAGCCGGTTCCCACAATGCACATGGGCTGGGGTGGAAAAGACGTAAAGATGAGTATGCGTTTGCAGACGGAGAGAATCCGATGGTAGGCAGGCCAGAGGGACAGACAGGATAACGTCCCTCACCTTGGAGCTCTTACCGATGTCTTCGCAGGGAATAATGCAATTTAGCAGGTGCTTTAGGGAGTAACTGGTGGTAATTCGGATGGTGACCCAGTGAGGGCCGGTTCTGGAAGCCAGAAGAGAAGCTAGGGGTGTCTTCCGAGGTCCAAGCAGAAAAGATGGGGCACTGACGGGGTGCAGGGTTCCAACAGCCCTTTTCTGCTGTCACTCCCGACCCCACCTAGTTCCTGCCTAGTTCTGTGTGGGACGTGGGTCCCCACTGGCCTAGGAGTTGGTCGAAGCCCTGGGCTGGTTCTATCCTTGCTGAGAGGCTTGCAGCATTGCTGCTGGAAGGACAGGAACTCAGGAGTGTGACGACCTCGGGGACCCGCAGCCCAGCCCATCTGATCTGCGGGCCGGCCAGGCAAAGAGCCGTAACTCTTCAGGGCGAGCCCAGGGCCTTCCAAGGCTGCCAGACACGTCCCTTATCTTTATCTGACTGGTTGTTATACGAGCATTTCCATTTGTAAAATTTCATTAAGCTGAACACTTGGGCACTTGGGCACATCACTATGTTCAAACTTAATAAAATAATAAAATGAAATTTAAAAAATCTCATAGCCCTTGGGTATTGTGTGTGTGTACATCATTTAAACCCTGACAACCGCCCACATTTATTGAGTGCTGTCTCCCAGCCACTATGCTAAGCCACTGTGCCACTGAAACCTCTTAGCCACAGCACGAAGCAGGTGCTAGTGTACCCCATGCTACAGACGCAAAACTGAGGCAAGTGTCCATGGCTACTTGTGGCCAGAGTCCGGGCTCCAGAGCCTGTGTCATGGCCTCACCGGGCCAGTGCTGAGCTGGGGTAACCTGGAAGGTTCTCGCCTCCCTCGCTCTTAGCCCTGCTGAGAGCAGACGGGGTCCCCATCAAGGTGGACGAGAGGCAGAGGTGTCAGTTCATAGCTTATGCCATCCCTGCCAGGCAAGTGCTCTGCTCAGCAGCAATCAAGGTTCAGCCACGGAGCCACAGAAGAGATTTTTTGGGGGACAACTAGCCTCACAAGATGCTCTGCTCCCCCACCCCCGTCGGACATTGCTCAGGCTTCAGTCAGCACCCCGGTGGCCCTCCCGAGCCTTGGTGAGGGACGCAGCCCCGGCGCCACCCTCTCACCGTGCCTGGATCCCAAACGTCATGTTGGGAGGGAGGGCAGGCGGCTCTTTCTTCTGGCGCCGGTCGTCCTGGTCGCTGATGCGGAGGTCGTTGAGCCTGCGGTAGAGGATGTTCTCCCGGGCGGTCACCAGGCCAGCTTTCACGGCCCCTCGGTTCATGGCGATGTAATCCCGGGTCAGCTCGTGGGGGCAGGTGGGCTGCTGCTTGTACACGTTCCAGTGCCCGATGGCTAAGGGCGGGGGGCGCAGAGCCGCGGGCAGTGTCAGGCGGAGCAAAGCACCTTGGACCGCCAACACTGGAGCCCCCCAGTATCCCAGCCTGCTGGGCGTCAGCCCTGCCCGGCGTTGGGGAGCATATGGCGGCCCAAATCGGTGGGATGAGGATTCTCAGAGATCCCAAGGGAGCCTGTGCAGCCCCCATGGAGCTGGAGCACCCGCCCTCGGTCACCCCTGGGCCGCCAGAGCCCAGGTTCTGAGCCCTCCCGCGCTCACAGCTGGAATGGCCCAGGGCGCAGGGGCCTCTTCCCAGGGTCCCTTCCCGGGGCGCCCCTGCCCCTTCCCTGTGCCCCAACCGGGGCCCTTTTGGTCCTCCCCACCTAGGCCAAGCCCTGGTTTCACCCCTCAGCTGCCTAGACTTGGGGTCCCCCCAAACTGTGCTGCAAAGCAGGTCCCTTGTGATAGCCCCAGCCCCAGTCCACACCTGAGCCCCCTCGGGCTCCTTGACCCCTTGCTCACCTTCGGGGACCCCTCCATCCAGCCCGCGGATGTAGAGGCCGTAGTTGAAATCAACCCCAGGCAGGCTGCAGCTCCTTTCTCGGGGTTTGCCCAGTTCTGCCTGTAGGAGACAGAGCAAAGGTGAGGGTGCAATCTCAGCCCTTTTAACATCCGAAACGGGGCCCTGGGAGAGGAGCCGGGCTGCAGGTGGGCCAGCGGCAGCGCATGTGACCAGCTCCAGATGTCACACCTGGAAGCCACAGGGAGGGATGGGGCGGACTTCCTACCAGCTCTGCCTACCAAGGACACCCCAAGCCCTCTTCACCGGGACAGAGGAAGCTGGTTCTTCTTCCTTGAAGCCTTGCTTTGGGGTGGGGACACAGTGCCAGCACCCACTGTCACCCTGGCACCGGGACTGCAAGTCCTACCCACCGGATCTCTGGAAGGAAACTGCTGTTTTATGGATGTAGGGGCATCGCCCCTGGGACGGCTGAGCCACAGTGACCCCGGATCTTGGGGGGCGGGGGCAGGTGCTGAGAGCATCACCCACTGAGCACGTCTGAGTTCTACTCCCAGACCCAGGACCCAGTTCCTCTCCGCCTCCCTCGTTCAGTCCTCCCTGCCACCCAGAGACGCTGAAGAGGTGAAGTCGCATCAGGCTGCACAGTAGGAGGTGGCAGAGCTGGGACTCGAACCCTGGCCCCGTCTGCAGCCCACACCCAGTTCCACGGACTAAATAAACTCAATGAGCCCCAGGTCTCCATGGCTCCCGGGTGCCATGAACCCACGGACAGCGCTGTGAAGGACGGGGTGCCCGGGACCCAGGCTGAGCTTGGGCTGCCACCCAAGGGGGCCGTCCCAGGGTCTGGCAGGCTCCAGCTGCACATCTGCCGTCTCCTCCTGACTGGTGCAGTGTGGTTGCAGACTGCACCCTCCTGCCCCGCCCCTGCAGCTCCGCCTCCCTGGCCCCCATGATCCCGCTAACCAGCCTATTCCCAGCCCACTGCAGGACCCATGGGCGGCCCAGCCTGTTTCCCAGCGTGCCCTTTGCCCTGAGCCTGCCCTCCCCTTCTCCTTTTTCTTCGGGCCACGCCCTCCTCTGGACGCCCGAAGTTCTTTTGGGTCTCTGTTCATTTTGGGGCTTGGAAATTAAGGGACAGTCCACGTTTCCACGATGCCCACGCTGGCCCACCTTGCTCAGGTTATGATTTCCTACACAGCTGGAGCCATGGCTTTGGTAACAGGTGCCCTAGGGCCCAGACGAGCCTCCTTGATACCTGGGGCGCCATTCATGGGACGTGAGGGAGATTTGTGATTATGGAGACTGGGGCAGGTGACGGAATCGAACGATGGGGGTGGGGTGGGGAAGGGACGTGTCTTTGCAGGAGCAGGTGATAAAATTGTCCTGCAAAGGGGCTGGGGATTTAGCTTAGCGGCAAAGCTCCTGCCTGGCAAGCGCAAGGTCATGAGTTCAGTTCCCGGTACCGGAGAAAAACCAAAAAAAAAAAATTGTCCTGCAAGTGATTATGACCAGCTAGACATGCAGACAAAGGCTTGTAATCCCAGCATTCTGGGGGGCTGAGGCAGGAGGATCACAAGTTCAAGCCTACCCTGGGTAATTTAAGCAATTTAGTGAGACCCTATCTCAAATATAAAACAAAAAGGGCTGGGGATGTAGCTCAGTGCAAAGGCCCTGGGTTTTATTTCCAGTACCGAAAAAAAAAAAAAAAATGATTAGGGTGATAGTTGGACAACTCTGTGAATATACTAAGGCCCAGTAAGTTGTATGCTTTAAGTGGGTGAATTGTCTGCTACGTGAATCACCTCTCAAACAAAGCTGCTGGAAAATTACAGAGTAGCATAACTGAGTCAGTAATTGGTTGATCAGCTTATGTCTGTCTTCCCTAAGGAGAATGTGTGTTCCATGAGGAAGGGGATCTGATCTTCATTAACTTTTTTGAGTATTGGGAACAGAACCCAGGGGAGCTACTCCCCCAGCTCTTCTTGTTTTTGATTTTGAGACAAGGTCTAGCTAAGTTGCCCAAATTGGCTTTGAACTTTAGATATTCCTGCCTCAGCCTCCTGAGTAGCTAGGATTACAATAGACATATACTACCCTGCTCAGCTACTTATTAATTTTTAAGGTTAACTTTTTAAATATTGATTTTATATTTTAGAGAAGTCTTAGGGTCACAGAAAAATTGAGCAGAAGGTGTAGAGATTTCAAACACTCCATCAGTCTTCATTTTTGCTCTTCTTTTCCCAGAGCTCAGGTTAGAACCGATGTTAGTAAACAGGAGCTGAGGGAGAGAAGGAGGGAAGGAAAAGGAAGGAAGAAAGGAAGGAAGGAAAGAAGGAGGGAAAGCAGGGAAGGAGGGATGCAGGGAGGAAGGAAGGTAAGCAGGCAGTCTCTCTGTCTCAGCTCAGGCTCCTGGAACCTTTACCACACCCCGGAGGGCTGACACGGTCACCATCGCCTCCAACAGCCTGCAGGCTGGGCCCCCACAGGTGCGGTGGGGGAGAATCCGCTTCTAGTTTGCAGACAGCCGCCTCCTCACACAGAGGAGAGGGGAATGGCCCAGCTCATCCCCTGCTCAGAAGGGCACTAATCCCACGGCAGGGGCTCCATCCTCGCGGCCTAACTGCCTCTGGGCCCTGCCTCCTAACACCGTCCCACTGGGATGAGGGTTTTAACTGAGCCTGGAGGATGCATGGTACAGCCCAAAGCGGCACACTCTATGGGAGACTCTTGGGGTTCTCCCCACTCAGCCAGTCCTCGCTGTCCTCTCCTCGCACACCCAGGCCCTCGTCTCTCTCTGGAGCCCCGGCAGGTGCCAGGCCCTCTGCTGGTTTCCTTCCACCTGACTCGTCTGGAGCCGCAGGCAGAGCTCGGGCCTCTTATTTGTTTATGAAGATGATCCGGCCTCTCCAGCGACTGCTGGGGAAGTTAATTAAAATGTGACTTCTCCGGGAGAGACCCTGCGTCCTCCGGGGCAGGTGCAGGTGGGCAGGCTTCCAGCTGGCAGAGGAACGACAGACAGACTCCGGAGCCGGCTGCCACCCTGGAGCAGGGGTTGGGAAGCGGGCAAGAGCCGTGATCTCTGCGCTCTTTAGGCTGGTTGCCTGGGCATCGGAAACCGCTGAAGACCGGGGCTGTGAAAGCTCATCCCCGCCGGGGGCCTCCTCAGGCCTCCACTTCATAAATATTTCAGTTACAGTGCGCCAGGCCCAGTGCTGGGACTCTACGGTAAACGAAGTGGGCAACAGCTCTTGTCATGAAGTTCACTGTTCTGCACAGATAGTCAACTAAGGACTGCGAAGGGTGCGGGGGAGGGTAAGGAGGAGAGCACAGACCCCCCCAGCTCTAAATCTGAGTCCTCACAATGAGAGAGGGTATTTGCAGTGCATGTGTCTCAGGAAAGACTTGTAGCTGTCATATGTAAAGAGCAGCTATAAACCAATAAGGAAGGGCAGAGTCTTGTAGAAACATGAACAAGAGTTGGACAGGTACTTTATTAAAAGGATGTCAAGGGGCCCAGCCTCTGGGAAACACAGAATAACAGCTCAGGGCTCTTGGGGAGGGTTTGGAGTAATCAGGCCACTCATGACCTAAGCGGCCCCTGCCGGACACCAGCAGAAGTGACTGTGAGTGCCACCCTTAGCCGCGTAGGAATGATCCCCACAGCTCAGCACCTGAAGGCCAACCCCAGAAACGCAAATGATCCAACTGGTGGGCGAAAGGTGCTGTGTTCATGTCACAGGAAGTTATCCGCCGGTGGTCTTGGAGTGGGGTGATTCTTGTCTCCTGGGGACAGCTGGCTACATCTGGACATTCTGGGAGCGGGCGCTGACCTTTATCTAGCGGGTAGATGGGGGCCAGGGACGCTGCTCCCCGTCCGCACTGCGCAAGAGAGCAGCCGCACTCTGCCAGGTGGTGTCCGTGCCCAGGTGCCCTCCGTGCGGACTGCGAGGGAGGGGGGCAATGTGCGCGGCCCTCCTGCAGTTGGGGGGGACGCAAGCAGGAAGCCCAGGCCCAGCCCGCCCGCCCTCTGTTTGGGGAAGTCAGGGGTGCAGGGCTCTGAACGGGGCTTGAGGGTGAAAGCTGCACAAGGACCCTTCGGGACATGTATGCCTATCACGCAAAGTGGTGTCTCTGCTGTGCCCATTTCACAGGAGTGAAAACAGAGGCCTCGGGGCCTGTGTGTCCAACGCCGGTGAAGTGATGGATCCTGGTCCCCGATTCCGCGTTTAGCGCGTGTTTTCTGGGGCAATGGCTGCCTTCTTGGGGGCAGAGCCCCTCCCTGCAGCAGGGGCTGGCTCCTGCTAAGGCGCCCAGTGAGCACGGCCAGCTCCCTACACGACGTGGGTGCAGAGCATGGCGCAGGTCTCAGTCACTTTCTCATCACCCAGAGGCCACAGCTGACGCCTGCGGCTTGAAGGAGGAGAGGTTTGTCTTGGCTTGCCGCGTGTAGAGGCCAGAAAGGCCTGTGGGAAAGTCCCGCGTTGGAGGAGCGCCGTGCACACCGTGCAGCCGGAAGCAGCCAGCAAAGGGCGGGGCTAATGCGTCCAGGCCACGCCCCCGCCGACCCGCCTCCCACCAGGCCCCGCCACCAACGCCAAGCCAGCCGCAGCAGCCTCACAATCCCATCCCCTCCCAAGGCCTCACCTGTGGGAGGCTCCCAGGGACGTCCGGAGGTGAACGCAACAGTCTCACCCCCAGGGCCGCCCGGCGGAGGCCACGGACCGAGGGCCAGACAGGCTGGGGTGTGAGTAAGAGCTGTCCTTGCCTGGGTCTGGGGCAGTGGCCGGGACAAGGAAGATACGGGTCTTGGAATGACATCTTGGAGAACCGAGCGAGAGAAGATTCGAGGGGGCAGTGGGGAAGGACAGGAGCCCAGGGTGTGCCGAGAGGCTCGTGGGAGCAGAGGCCGCCTGATGGTGCCCCGGGGCCTTCCAGGCCCTGTAGGAGACTGTGGGGCTCTGGGTGTCTGGATCTGTGATGCTGTCAAGTCTGACACACAGGTTCTCGGGGAGCTCCAGACCCTGAACTTCTAGACAAGGGTGAGCAGCTTGTGACGGCTGTCCGAGATCAGCGGCCACCAACAAAACAAGCAAGAGGAA